TTCAAACTCAGTCTTGCAATGTTCAGATATGTTTTGAAGAGCTTTCCATCTTCTTAATTTATTTCATATCTTCTTTTATCTTTACAATCTTTCATTCTTTTTCAAAAGCTGTCAATTTAGTATCAAGTGATTCCAATTTATTGTCCATTTACACAAATAATTTTCAAGCAAATCTGATGTAATTCCTTTCTTTGCAGGTTGCTTTAAGAATTCTTCTCTCCTTCATTCTTGCATTTTATGGCAGTTGCTATTATGATGTTATAATTCAACATTAAAAGTTTTAAAAGGCAATGAAGAAAGAAAAGTCCCTTTTTCCTATTTTATCTTCCTGTTCCTTTAATACATTTGTCTCTAATAGCATTCTGTAGTTTCAGTCAGCATCATATTTATCTTTTGTTTTAAAATCCACCAACTGTCATACTTTTTAATAATAAACAAAGAACTTTTTTTTTACAAAAGTCCACTTTGTTTATCTTAATTCTAGTTTGTTTAAAAACACTTTCATCGAAGAAATAATCTTTCAAAATAACTGTTCCATTAATCCATTAAAAAAAATTTTTAATCGACTTGTTAAGGTTTTGGTTAAAGGTTTTTAAATCTTTAAAATCTTTTTTGTCTATTCCTTTGTAAACCAGAAAAAAGAACTTATCAAATGGAACCTTATCCTGTCATTCAGAAAATCTCTTTGGCTGTAAATTAATTACACCAGAAATGATTAAGAAATGAGGCACTTACGAACTTTGTACCTATATAGACTACATTAAGGTTGTGGGTTTGTTAAAAGCCCTTGGCTTCTGGCTGCTTAGTTCACAACTAACTGCAAAAATTTCAGTTCCTGCAGTCTACTAATGAGGAGCAGTTGTCTGGAGTGCAGGTGAATGATTTCAAGATCTCTTCCTTTTCCAGAGAGACTTTGCTGGCCAGAATTCATCATCTGGCTGCTGATGTCCATCGTAATTTCATCCCTGATTCTTCGGGAATAACTAGTTTGCCACCAGAAGTTCTAGAAAAAGGGCTTCCTAAGTGACTAAACAAACCGAATTGGTTAGGATTTGGAAAGTAACAAACTGAAGGTATTTTTTATAGAACTGCTTTCCCAGTAAAATCCAGTGAATGAACATAAAATTCTGGAACATTTGTCAGCTTATTGGTTAGTATTTCAGATTCTGATCTCCCACTTCAGAAAACATATGGCCCATTTCTATTTTACAATCCGATTGTCAGCTCCAATGTCTTTGTTAATACCTCCTTGGTACTAAGCTTTTTTTCCCCCATCCAACTTATTTTTTTCAGATTCTTTTCATTAAAAAGAACAAATAAATGGAAAGGTAATATACTGATAGCAAAACCAATAGCAGTTCCCTGCATCAACCCTCTTAAGAGGCAAGAATGCCTTTGAACCTCTCATAGGTCCCAAACTATTATTATAAAATAAAAATATTTGCTCAGCAGTGGAAGATTTTTTTTAAAAATCCCAGTGTACCCAGAAAAAATGGAAAACAAGCACAGAAGGGAAATTCTTAGGTACCAAGCAGATGGATATAGATTTTCATGGGTACAGATATGCAGGTCTTGGCGTATTCGGGTCTTTTCCCGTGTAAGATTGAGAATATCTTGGCGATGTTTCGACGAGGTCCCATTCGTCATCTTCAGGTTGGGGCCTTCGGCTTCGTGCTTGTGCGAGCAAAGTGTGATCGGAGCTGCCGTCTCTCTATAAATATTGGTGGCGGTGTGTGGAGTGCTGGCTTAGTTGCTGTAGGTGGATTGGTTGGCTGTGTGGGAGCTATTGTTTGCGGATTGTTGAGCTGTTTCGTAACATCCTGAGTAATTGAGGTGCTGGCTGTGTGCCCATTAGTCAGCACCTCAACTACTCAGGATGTTACGAAACAGCTCAACAATCCGCAAACAATAGCTCCCACACAGCCAACCAATCCACCTACAGCAACTAAGCCAGCACTCCACACACCCCCACCAATATTTATAGAGAGATGGCAGCTCCGATCACACTTTGCTCGCACAAGCACGAAGCCGAAAACCCCAGCCTGAAGATGACGAGTGGGACCTCGTCGAAACGTCGCCAAGATACTCTCAATCTTACACGGGAAAAGACCCGAATATGCCAAGACCTGCATATGTGTGTGTGTGTGTGTATGTAAAAACTATATAGAAATCATCACTTGCAATTGCACACTCCAAAAAGTAGAATTATCAGAAAATAAGACGATACTCCTCACTAAACATGGTTACCTTCAGGTTACACATATAATATGAACATATATTTTCAACAAATCCAGTAATATCACTTTTATTGAAGAAAAATATTACTAGTGAAATATTTCTCCTAACTTTTGTAAGGCTTCCAAGTCTCTTTTGGAGAGCTGGAGGAACTTTGTTATGGGAGAAATGCCAGGTCTACAGGAGAGAGAAGAAGATCCATTGCCCAAACAGCTGTTTCTCAGACGTCAGTAGCTGTAGCTCTAAAGATGTTTGTTGTTTTTGTTGTTCAGTTACTTTCAACTCTTCATGACCTCATGGACATCATTTACCAGGATTGCCAACTGGATATCACTACTATTTTAAGAAAAGTATTGTAGATTGTTGATAATCACTGTGTATCACAACTATTTGTTTACATATTTTTAGCAAAAGAGTCCTGACAACAAGCCATTTTCTTTCTTTTCGGATTACTATAGTTTAAGCAGTTCAGTACAAAAGGTTTGTAGCCTAGAAAACTGGCATCAGAATTTGTTTAAAATTTCTTAAATTTTCAAAATGTTATTTTAAACATTATTATTAATGTTTTATAGTAATTTTGTTAAACATTCCTATTAAAACAGTAAACACTAGCACAAACTAAGAAAAACAAAATAACAAAAAGAAAAGAAAATGCAAAAAATGAAAAATAGAAAAACAAAAGAAAAGAAAAATCAATTTTAAAATAAATATATAATTTATGTAAAATATAAATATATTTTAAATTAAGCATAAACAGTCCACCAAATGTTTTGAGTTCAGAAATGGTGAAAGAATATTAGCCCAACCCGCTCTAAGCTAAAATAGAGGATATGCAAAAATCTGCCCCCTCTCAAGTGAGAAGTATAATTTTAGAGACAATCTTGGTAACCTGGGCTACATATGTAAGCTAGTAGAAAAGCTAGTATATTGTTTATTTATTTATTTATTTATTTATTTTGATTTATATCCCGCCCTTCTCCCGACGGGACTCAGGGCGGCTCACAACATATTAAAAAACATAGACACGCCTACAACCCCACCGAAGTAAAACCAATTAAAACCAAATATTTAAAGTTGTATTATTTAAAAATTACACCTAAAATAAACCCGATTTAAAATCCTCCCTAGGCCAGNTCGGAGATAACCAGGTCCGATGCCATGGAGCGCTTTAAAGGTGGTAACTAACACCTTAAAGCGCACCCGGAAGGCCACTGGCAACCAGTGCAGCTCGCGCAGCAGCGGTGTTACATGGGAGCGACGAGTCCCTCCCAACACCGCCCGCGTGGCCGCATTCTGGACCAGTTGAAGCCTCCGGGTGCTCCTCAAAGGGAGCAAACCTTTTTGTGAAACTATCTGGGATCTCTGCAGCAATAAAATCCTCTCTGGTAGTTATTTTTTTTTCCTCAGCAGCTGTTAGTAAAAGATACACATGTCATTCTTCCACTAAGTAACATGGCATCTTAGTTTCCCTCTTTAAAAGCCTAAATGCAAACTAAAATGGCCCAACTTGATTAAACGGACATTGGCCTGACTAAATCAGTGCTAGAAATTCCATATCAGGAAGAGAGTGGTTTGGGGTGATGGAATCTCCATTGGGTTCCATATGCTAAAAGTTATTTAGAACTATCAATTTGGGGTAGTGGCATTTGCAGGCTGTCATTGCTTAGATCAGAGTGAAGAAAGCAGTGCTGAGGTACAAGCTCCACCCTTTTGCCTTTGTGTGTGATTTGTGATAAAAGAAGAAAAGGGACAAGGCTTCCATCATGACATTGCAACCCTGCTTGTTTCATTCTAGCCCTCCCATTTCCTTCTTCCCTCCCTTGCAATGACTTCTGATTAGGGCCCTCTTCTCTGTTTTGCTATACTTTGTAGAGTAATTCAGCTGCATTTATTTTAATCTAGACAGAAATATATTGGTTTCCCAAAAAAAGATAAAACAATTAGTAAATATAATGATCAGAGATGCACAGAAGATGGCCTTAATGTAACATCTAATTGTTAACTGTTACAACTATTGTTTTATCCTTAAAACCATTTGGTTATATATGGACTTTGATCTTATATTCATTATAAGTGGTGGAGCTATACCTACCATTATTTATGATGCATTACACAAATCTGGAATGCTGATTTAGGATTAAGCTCTAAATGCACTTTAAAAGAGGGAAATGCCACTACAGTGTAGTTATGATATATATCTAAGTTATTTATTTATTCATTCATTGATTCATTCATTCACTCATTCAATTTCTATAGCTGCCCATCTCAACCAAGGACTCTGGGTCTTTACAATTCCAAAACTGAAAAGAAAATGAAAGCAATAAAAACCTTTAAAATCAATAGAAACATCCAAAATATACACAGCAGCCATTAGCCAATTAACTGTAAACCTAAGAAATGTGTCCCGGGCTGAGGAACGTAGCCAAGTTTCTAAATCTTTATGAAAGGCTAACAGAGTTGGAAGCATTCTAATCTCCCAGAGGAGGATATTCCAGAGAGCAGGAGTCACTATGGAAAAGGCCCGTCTTCTAATTTATGCCAGCTAACACACTATGGCTCATTCGCATGCTGCCTTATCTGCTAGATTGAATTGGACAGTAGAGACTCTTAGAAAAAGGCAGTCCCTCAGGTATTCCTAATACCTGAATATGCACAACTATTTTTAAGGGAAAGTAACATTTTATAACAATAAAGTGAAATAATGCATAGAATCTTATGTCTTAATGACTTTTCATTAAAAACAAAACAAAAACAAAGGTACTTACTTGGCTTCCAGCGCCAGGGCGATGATTCCTGCAGCCATAGGTGCAGAAGCTGACGTCCCTGTATGACTGTCTGTACAACGCTGTCTGAGGTCTGTAGTGATCTGGGGGGGGGGGAGTGTATGATTAAGAATAACGTTGCTGCAGACAACACAAAGTTTCTTTTGTTGAAATAATTTATACGCATGTGAAACTTTATTATTATTCAATGGGATAACTTTTTTTTTTAATGCCGGTTTTAGTTCTCTAAAGCATGTGGCTAGCCAAAAATCATTTGCCTCCCAGAATGCTGTAGTAATGAAATGTCTGGCAGCAGTCCCATATTACCTTTATGAGACACTTAGTTAGATGATTTGACACTTGGTATTTTATGGTAGTGCTGCAAGCAGAATTAAATTCCAATCTGATATAAATTTTATTCTTTCAGCGGCAAGAGTAGCAGACTCTTGAATAACAGAATACACTCTGAATACATTTCTGCCTCAACCAAGGCTGCTTGTATGACAGCAGCTCCTGCAGACATTCACAACCGAGTACAAATGTACTATTGTACATGCATTGGCTTCCACTTGAGTTGACATAATCAGGGTCCTTCCTTATATAGGAGCTCACACAGTTTCTGCCCTGTGGATATTATGCTGTAGGTCTAGAGCAGGGGTTGGGAACCTTGGCTCTTTTATGACTTGTGGACTTCAACTTGAAGTTGAAGTTGGAGTTGAAGTCCACAAGTCATAAAAGAGCCAAGGTTCCCCACCCCTGCTCTAAAGGAATCCAAATTACATATAATAATAATAATAATAATAATAATAATAATAATAATAATAATAATAATAATAATAATAATAATAATAATAAAAGTTGGAAGGGACCTTGGAGGTCATCTAGTCCAACCCCCTGCTCAGGCAGGAAACCCTATACCATTTCAGACAAATGGCTGTCCAGTCTTCTTAAAAACTTCCAGTGTTGGAGCATTCACCACTTCTGGAGGCAGGTTGTTCCACTGGTTAATTGTTCTAACTGTCAGGAAGTTTCTCCTTAGTTCTAGGTTGCTTCTCTCCTTGATTAGTTTCCATCCATTGCTTCTTGTCCTGCCTTCAGGCGTCTTGGAGAATAGATTGACTCCCTCTTCTTTGTGGCAGCCCCTGAGATATTGGAATACTGCTATCATGTCCCCCCTCGTCCTTCTCTTCATTAAACTAGACATACCCAATTCCAGCAGCCGTTCCTTATATGTTTTAGCCTCCAGTCCCTTAATCATCTTTGTTGCTCTTCTCTGTACTCTTTCTAGAGTCTCAACATCTTTTTTACATTGTGGTGACCAAAACTGGATGCAGTATTCCAAGTGTGGCCTTACCAAGGCATTGTAAAGTGGTATTAATACTTCACATGATTTTGATTCTATCCCTCTGTTAATGCAGCCCAGCACTGTGTTGCCCTTTTTGGCAGCTGCAGCACACTACTGGCTCATATTTAAGTGATTGTCCACTAGGACTCCGAGGTCCCTCTCACAGTTACTACTATTGAGCAAGGTACCCCCTATTCTATACATGTGCAATGTCAATCGGGCATCTTTGAAGTATTTACATGATGAGGGTATTGGATGTCTGAAACCTGAGTTTCAACAAAATCCTGTGCTCCCTATAAATAATTGCTGAGGGAATAGGACCTTAGCCTTTCAATCCTCATTCTGCCAGAATCCTCATTCTGAAAGTGGATGGGACAAGGATAAATACTTGGGTCAGGCCAGAAAAAGTAAAGCTTTATATTAAATATATTTACTCTGATTACTCTCCATTATTTATTTTCCTAAACTTTCCCTATGTATTGTTAAAAACATGTCATTATCTAATACAAAGGCTTTTTAAACCCACAAAGCACCCCATTTTAAAATAGCATTTTAATACGTATTTTAATATATGTTTTATCTTTAACATAAATACTGCTATAGCTACATAATACAGTATAAAATGTTAACATATACATTAGAATTGAGTACTATTAAATGTTTCCTCCCTGATTAAGCATGCATAGCATTGAAAATTAAATATTAATTGGAAATTAGGTGTGAAAGATTGTATATAAGTCATCTTCCATCCAGTTTAAATAAAAATATAAGCTGAAAATGTAAAACTCTGTAAACATATCCAAACATATTTCTACTCTGTAAACATATTAAAACTACCGGTGTGTAGAAATTAGAATTAGAAAATAAATATTAAATTACAATTATCAAAATATAATTAATAAAAGAAATATATGCTGCATACATTAGAACTGAATGTACTTCATCAATAGGAAAGTACATCAGAAATCAACATAACTTTTTGTAACTATAGCCTCAGGACACAATCTACAAAGCTGCTAAAACATGGAATATAAATTCGTGGAATATAAATTGAAACAATAAAGGCTACTGCCAGTAAATGATAAATGTAACTGCCAGGAAAAGAGTTAATAGAAAGCCAAAAAGGTGAATGCATAGGCACTTTGAAACCAGAACAGTATTCTGGGTAGAGGATAAGGGTGGGTGGATGGGAAATGATGCCAAAAGCAAATTCTTGCTTTCCTAACAATTGTTAAATATAAAATACTTATCATTTGCCAAACTTGATAATTTTGTATTCAGGTCTACATAAGTTGTAAATTAAGTATCAGTAGCAGTATCACTTTTGTAAACTTGTCAGTGACTTGGCATTAAATAGCACACGTTAAAGCTTTGTGAGTTTGTCTACATCAAGTTTCTTAAAGTTTGATCCTAGTCAGTGCTTTTTTGTAAAAAAAAAAAAAAAAAAAAAGGTGCCGGAAATCACACATGTCATACAACCCGCCTTGTCTACCCTACAAGGGTTCATCCAAAAAAGATGCCGGAACTCCGTTCTGCTCGTTCTATGACAAAAAAAGCCCTGATCCTAGGATCTCTAGCCATGCACACGACCTTCTCAGGGGTCTGCAAAGTCAAACTTATTTGCCAGCCTATGCTGAAAAATAATACAATATTAAAATCCCACCAAACAACTGTGATAAGCAGTAATGGCAGCGAATGTGTCAGCATTAATATAAATGTTAACAAAGATAACCTATATTCTTTTGGGGTTCTTCATTATTTTTAAAAGTGGGAAGGGGGTCTAGAGAGAAAAAAGTTTAAGAAGCAATGTAAACAATGTGAAAGAAAATTTGTATAAAATGATGTTGGTATTTAACACCTGATAAACTGACAAAGGAGTATATGGGAATGTCAAATAAGTGTTGGAAATGCAACTAATACCTTTTATCACCTCTTGCAAAATGCTAAGAAATATTGGAACAAAATATGTATTTTGATTTAGAAGATATATTTACAAAAATCAACACGCAATTAAAACTGAAGGTTTCTCTTTTAGGTATGATGGATACCAAACCGAAAGGAAACATGGGGCTTTGTTCTTATATATAACACCAACAAGACTTCTATTTGCATAGAGGAGACAAGTCCTAGACTGGAAGAATAAATTGGGAAATTAATAGACCTGGCTGAGATGGCAAAACTGACCACTTTGGTGAAAAACAAAGGTTTGTTTCCATTTGGATACTACTTTTGAACTTCTTGCTCAAAAATAATAGAAATGAAATTGGTATTGATTTTGGTATTTGATGATTAGATGTGTTCCAATTATAGAAATATTGTGTATTGTTTTCCTTTTGTTTGCTGATTTACATATTATGCCTTTATTTTTGTTTAAATATAGTCAGGTTGCTTTATTACATATTTGTATCTGTACTGAAGAAAATTGGAAAGTACTCTTTTTCTATATATTCTATCTGTATTTGTGGTTTATTTAAATCCAATAAAGGCATATATAAAAAAGAAACACTATATAGAATTAAATGTTTAAGGTCTATAGGTCCACTGCCCAGATTCAAAATGTTATAGTGTCTGAAACTGATTTCATATGGCAAATTGACCACTAGGGATGTAGAAAAATTCGCTGGCTATTTCTGATCTTTATTAAACTGGCTCCTGTGGGAACATATGGTAGCATACAAGAAAAGTCAATCAACAATAAATGTACATTATGTCCCCTCCTGCTCCTTCCTTAAAGTAGCATGAAGGAGATTGTTTCATTCCAGTGTGAAGTTGGATACACTCTGACAAGTGTTAATTTAAAAAAAAATCAAAAAGAAACCCACTAATACCTTTATATTACATTTATATAATTGATTAATTGAATTTCCTTTTTAAAAATTAAATATAAAATAATGTGAAGTACTTTTCAGTCATTTAATTTATACAAGGCAGACCTAGAGCCTCTTAGAAATATAAAAAGGAAAAATGGAAACTTGTAGAAGCAACATCTTGCTTTTGAGTTATCAATATTTTGTTTGAGAATATTCCCATTATTTCAGCTAACAAAGTAAATAAACTATTACGATAGAGACAAACATAAGATCAGTAAAAGCCACGCATCAAAAAACCTTCATATCAATCTCTTCTATCACTTAAGCTTCAGCCAAAAAGTCTCAAATGAAAATCTTGCAGAAACAAAAAAATATCTCCCAGGCTTATAACTCCTCTGAATTAAGCAAAAGTTTATTGTGCTTCTCCTTATGAAGTTGCTGTCACCGAAGATGACCCAGAATGTAGTTGGGTCATAGAATGGCTGGCATCAAAAGTAGTTGCCTGCCTGCTGACAGCAGAAGCCAATATAGTGGACAGATGGTGTTGTTGTTTATTGCGCTATTACTTTCAAACAGAATTCTCATTGAGGTCAGTTAAAATTGTGCTTTTCCACAGAGACTTTGAAGAAGAGGGCTGCATATTGGGTTAACAGCAATACGAGGGGCTATTCCATTATTTTCCCTGTCTGATGTTGGCTATGCTTTTATGTTGGTTTTATTTATTTTCTTAATATGCTGTGACTACAAGCCTCCTGGAAACTATGGAACTGATGGCATACCTCATATTATTTATAAATAATAAATAAATGTAGGCCACAATATACGTACCAGCTTGAGATATTGACATTTATATTATACAGATTAATAAGAACAGTAAGATCCAGAATTAGTTTTGAAGAAATATATCAATAGCATAATTATTTGTATTTCCGTTTCCTACAAATATTATATTGAAGTCTTTTTAAAGTTGCCAAATCCTCAGGAAAGGTGGTTTGGACTACAGAGGGTTGAAGAAGCAGAAAGGATAACAAAGTCTTAGTGAGTCAACAGATTTTATTTATATGAACTCTGGATTCAAGTTATATTGCTTGTTAGATTGTTTGTTTTAGCTCAAAGCATCAGAACAACATTATTAATAAGCATAATAAGATTAGGCATAATTAGATTTGTGCTGGATCACGGCCATAGACACTGAATTATTATTCACATATTAATCTCATCATCAGTCTTATTTCAATTATTTAAAGAGAGATTTCACTCAGAAAAGGGTAACAAAAACTCTCTGAGTGGAAATTCTATTTGAGCCATGTAAAATATTTTGATGTAAACTGGCCGGACTGATTTTCCTTCTTTAAATCAAAGTTGATTAAATATATCTGCTTTGTATATTATCCCAATTGCCATCTAATCTTTCTTTTAAATGATAAGAACCCATAAGCTGCCTTGTCTGACTCAATACCTGGTCTCTTCCCTCATATTTGAATGTCCTGTATTCTGCTTTCCTTCAAGAGCCTTGAAGACTTTCCCCCAGTCCTTGCATGGAAACTTTGGAATTATTTATAGGTAAAGTTGTGTTACAGCTTTTCCCTCCAGAGTAATAATTCTGATAGTTTTTAGACTTAATTCACCATCCTAGTCATCTTGAGTGAAATGAACTTATAATTAGGGATTCTGGAGTCAGGTGGTCTCATAATTAGCCATGTGCAAACTATTCTGCCCTTTTCTTTCAACCTGAAGTGGCAATTCCAAGTATTCTAAATACAAAACAAAACAAAACATGGAAGTTGTGTTACAAACTGGGCCTAGCCACGTTCTTCTAATAACTAATAGGCTTCGTTGCAGAAATGGGGTGTCTCTCAATTGAAAAGGGACGCTTTGGAAGGTGCTATTTCTTTGAGGCAGATAGGTGGCTGCTTACAAATGCATGTAGATTTATAATAGACAGATGCAGTTGTAATTACAACTGCCATTTTTTTTTTCTGCAAGCAGAATTAGGATTATGCCTGGATGATGTTATCACTTCATCACTAAATAGTAATTTGAGACTATCAAGATTTCAAGAAAACTTTAAAATAAAACTGAACCAACAGTTGCTTGCATGGTTTTGAATTTATTTATCAAATAGATACCATGAAGTGACTGGACAGGTTTAAATGCATGGTACTGATAGTCCAATAGTTTAACTGCACTACTTGAGATTAAGAGAAATCCCAAAGAATCATGTTTTTGCTATAGTTGCTCTTATATCAGAGAAATGTGAAGAAAGCTTGATAGGGCATTATACTATTCTTGAACACTAGAAGCCAAAGCTAGTCTAGGACACTAGATTAGCACTGATGATAATTTGGATAATGAAACGTCTGCAAGAAAACAACAAGTTCAGAGAGCACCAAGGATGCCTCATTTCAACCCTGAGCTACAACTATTCTTCTTTATTAGTACTAGAAGCCAAAATATTTTTTATACATTTTACATGTAACATGCTGTAATCTATAACTAACGTTCATGCAAAGTTACCTTTAGAATCCTTGCATTGTTGGAAATCATTAAGTATATTTCAACTGCTTGGCTTCTTTAGTCTTATTTTATTTAATTAATTTAGAAGACAAAAATGATCCTAGGTTGAATTATTTATGGCTTCATCATGGAACATTTTAAGAAAATCTTATCTACAAATATTTGAACAAAGTGTGTTACACTATATCAAGTTTTTGAGTGAATGGAAATTAAAGGGATGTACAAGAGTAGATTATGAAATATTTTGTCATAAAACCAATATTACCAAAATACTCTTGAATTCAAGATGGTAAATTTCATCATGGGAATATTTTTTGCTAGAAAAATGAATGACGTCTTCCTCCTTTTACCATTTTTTGAGGAGATTATAGAAAAAAAACCCCAAATATATAAAATTTATCAAAAGAAAAATAAGTAGAAGAAAGCAGATGACAACAGAATAATTACTGGAATGAAGAGTTACCTCAGAATTTGTCTTTAAAATTAATCATCTGAAAACAGCAAGGTTTCCAGGAGAGATGGCTAATATCCCAGATTATTAGAAGAAACGATATATTTTGAAAAATAGCCGATCTTAACTCCTTATTAGCAGCAAGAGACTGAAAAGGAGAAAACATTAAACAAATTTGTATTCATGATGGAAAACTAGGATTGAGAGAGAACAAATGTGTTTTCCCCTCCCTTCAGTTGGAAGATTTTTCTGTATGTTTGTTTCTTGTGCAAGTCAGTTTTTGGTTGAGGATGAAAAATATATTTTTAGGAGCAAATCCTTTAAAATATATATAAAAAATGTCAAGTAACTTTAGGATAAATAACACCTAGAATATATTTACAAAAAGAAGTTGTTAATTTTATGAACTTCAATCATGGTGAAAAGACCACATACTATTTTCCTGTCATAGGATTCTCCGCTGCTGTAGGTTGTGGCTAATGTTGATGCACATTCTTCTAGATACCAAGGCTTCCTTCCGCTTTCAGCTGTGCTACTAATGGAGATGGTATAGATGCTATTGGTGTAGCCATCACACGAGCAATGATCTTTACTTCTTCCACCATTTCCAGATGCCCACACATAAATGGAGCCCAAGTTGTTTCTGCCCTATTTGAAATAAATTAAACAAATATTGAAATTAGAAGTAGATAATAAGTTGTAATAGCCCCTTTTTGGTAATTTAATTTGGGTAAAATATTTTATTCGTAATTTAAATTCATCCTATAAAGTAGCAAATATAGGTTATAATATTCTCCCATTTTAAGTACTTGTTGCTAATATTGCTGTCCCAACAAGGTTATGAAACTACCATTGAATAAATTAACTAAAGGACTGACAGCTCCTAGCTGTTATGCACAACACATTAATTTCTTTTTCTCATTTAATCTTGTGAAAAAAATATTCCATTCCGATAACATCGGAAATTGAATATATATTATTTCTTTCTATTTCCATCATAACTAATTCTCCAATAGATAAATGATCCTTTCTTGGTTATAATATTTTTATTAACTACTTTACATTTTAGATTGTGCTAGATTGGATTAGATTTATCATTATTATTCATAATATTTCATGGACTATATGTATTATACCATTTAATAGTTCAATATCATTACAAATGTATCCATCATTTCTTCTAAAGACTATCTACCTAGATATAATTATGGATTTTAATTAAGATGAAATAGGACAGTAAGTTTTTGAAATTTATACCAACTTAGCATGCAGCTTTGAGGACCACCTAGTTATCAAGTATTTAGCAGGTAGTCTGTGCGCAGACTTTCTTTTGGTATCAATCTGGAGTGCTCCTTGATTTGACAAGAAGTTCCAGGACAGGAAGTGCAAAATAAGGTATCTAGAGCAATGCTGGCAGGTGATGAGAAATGACAATAACCAGAGTAGAGTATAATTCCATGTTCGGGCCTATACTGTGGCAGTAAAAACAGTGAACCATCAATACTTGTCAGAGTAAGTTTTAGTGAATGCTCTAGTACTCTGCTTCTTCCATCCCCCCCCCGCTTTTTAAATGAAACTATGATGAATACTCATCCATTGATTGGGTATTAGACATCACCAATATGTTGAGGATATCATTTTACATCTTGGTTGTAAGGCAAACAAGAGATCCCTAAAGGCAAACGTAAGGCAAACCTAAATGCTGCCTAGAGGCTGTGAGGGATAAAAGGGGACAAAACAGATTATGAAGGATTCACAGCAAGATGAGGTTACTATTAGTTCAGAAGTCTTACAGTACCATGGAAGTTCCATCTAAAACTCTTGATGTGTAGCACTTTCCCTGAAGGAGCTATTATGTAGTCTCCTAAAATCATGGCTTCTTTTGAAACAACAGATGGAAGATATGTCCAGGAGCACCTTTGGCTATTTTTTGCAGGTCTGCCAGTTATACCTAACCCTATCCCAAATCAGGAGGCACTGAAGACAGCGACTCACTTCATCTCTCTTTTATGTGTGGCTTAATTTTGCATTAGGCTGCCCTTGAAGATGACTCAGAAACAGCAATTTTTACAAAATGCAGTAACCTGATTTATTGCCTTTAGGATCATCTTGTGCAGGTAGAATATGCCTGACCCATCTTGTCTAGCAGGAAAATGATCCAGGTGCCCAGCTTGAGAAAAGCTTGGGTGCTCAGGACACAGATAATCTCATTTCCAGAATACTTTATATATTGTGCAAAATGTGTATATACATATCCAAAAATATTTTCATTTACTCAGTATATTGTTTTGTAAATTTCAGCAGGATTCTTCAAACACAAAGATATTGTTGAAAAAGATGCAATATATATATGTCACTATCAAATTTATTTGAAAACTGTGGGACACTATATTTTGAAAATATACCTTGATCATTTTTTAATGCCAAATTGACACTATGATATAACCTAGATCTCAACATTGATTAAAAATTGATACTGTGAATATGTGAATGGATGTTGGGATCTTTTATATTAATAAAACTAGTGGATGATACTTTGTCATTTTTTTGTTAAAAGATAAATAACATTTTTCAGTTGCTACTAAAAGGTAGTATTTATAGTTGTTTATTTGACATCTTGATTTGGACCAACAACATTTTCATCTCAAAATTAGCTAAGTTATTAGATGAAATTCCGAGTCCAAAAAGTCAACAATCAGTCTTTATAAATACCAGTTATTCATATATCAATGTGATCTGTTAATTGATAAGAAATGTGAGAGCCTCATTTTGTCTTAAAAAGGAAAATGTTTAAACTTCAATACTAAATACTTATTGGATCTTAGATTGCAAGTTATACAACAAAAATATTTCCAACTTATTGAAGCTCATAGTATTTGTACAGAAGAATAAACAACTGTATTATTGGAGATGCAATCAAAATAATACTTTGTTAAATCATAAGTTTTTGCAATATTCTAAAGTCACCATTTTAGGGAAAGAAATATAATAATTAGAAATATTAATTTGACTTTGAAACAAATCAAAATAATATTTTCAGATGCACATAATCTGTCGAACTATATAACCACAATGGTTATATAGATTGTGAAGGTTGACCGCCAGTCAATGGTAATAGATTTTCGTGTCTTTATTATTGCTAAGAGATTAATTTTCAACATTGGAAAGATAAATTTATGGCTCCAATTACCCAGTAGGTTCCATATCATATTGCATCCTACAAACAAGCTGCCTATAGATATAGATTATGTATGAACAATTAAAATGAAATATGGTTATCTTTTGTTGAAGTGTTAAAATTCATCTTCCTTCCTCCACTCTGAGAAGTCATATATACAATTTCAATCACTTTGGTCTAGTGATTAAGCCACCACACTAGAAACCAGTTCTACTCCTGCTTTAACCACAAAAGCCAGCTCGTTGAGTTTGGCCCATTCACTCAACCCATTACTTTAGGCTTTAGGCCACAAACAGGTTGATCAATTCCTGTTGCAACCAATGGATCAACAATCAGTTGAGCTGAAAAAAAGAGCGGTATCTGCACTAGTAGGAAAATGATGATGAAGATGAAAAAAATATACACATACGAACAAACAGACATTTGTGTGTGTGTGTGCATGTGTGTATCTATCTATTGTATGCCTGTCTCACTCTCTCTCTGTATACATACATTTGTATCTACATATAGGGTTGTTTTAATATATTATATTATATATAATATATTGTTATAATATATATATATATATTAGTATAATTTATTTAATAAAATAAATTAATAAATTAAATAAATTAAAGGATACTATTTTTTTGAAAACAGAATGTTTCATTTGAAATGAGCAGACATTTTAGAGTACTATGTTGTTCTGCCTTTTTCAACAAAAATTTGTTTAATCCATATCAGCTGTATTGAGTCAAATCCCTAAGCTTTAAAATATATAGCATGCATTGAATCAAAACTCTTTAGTTATAGTTATTCCAAAGTTAGGCAGTACTTACAAATTATTGCTTTTTTCCTGCTATTATTTTAATTTTCCAGATTGCATCTAGATATTGTTAGGATCTAGGAATGTTCCAGGGAACCAAGTTAATGCACAGTTTCCTGATGAACTGTTCTCTTTTCTCTGTCTGTTCCTCAAGAGTGGCTTTAAATATAGAGTAGCATTAAATACAGCATTAAAGTGATAAATGAAATATAATTATCAAAATTTTGACTTTCACTGTGTTTAATATCTATGGTTAATCTCTATGGATTAGTTTTGTTAATATCAAACTATCTGTGGTTGCCCATTGCTCTTCCATTCTAATCTCTCCAGATCACTGTTTCTATCTTCCTATATATTTTGTGCCACATAAAATTAAGTCCTTTCTTCCAACCAATTTTGTCTTTTTTGAACCAATTAAAAAAAATAAAGAGGAGAAGAATAACTGAAGAAAGATTCATTAATTACATTCACTTTCAACTTGTCTGTCAGTCATATAAATGTTGATGCTGACTTAGGAAAGGCTTTAATTTTCTTCAGAGAAATTTAATGAAAAGCAAATACTTTTGAAGAAAATATTCAGTAATTTTCTGTCATCAACATATAAATCTTTGTATATGTGTTTCAAACTAATCTCTCAGTGGGCTACAACTGTTTACAGGATTGGTTTTAAGCATATATTATAATCCTTTGGAATTGGAGTTTGTCTCAAGAGGGCTTTTCTATTGTTTCACAACCTTACAAAATTCTTGACAAATCAGTTTACCCAATATAGTCTGTTTTTCTTTTCTTTTTTTTACTAAACAACCACTTGCTTCTAACCATTAATGTTTGGAACAGCTGCAATGAATCTTCTAGGGATTCTAAATTAGATACCTCATAAGACATATAAAACTCAGAATATTAGTCTCCCAACCTTCGTCTTTATTATTGCACAGCATCATTGTTTTTTAATCCTGACCCCAGTGTTATTTGCCTCCAGATATTTGTAATACAAAAATAGGCTTTGGAACTTTTGTAGATGAAGTTTCAAAGGAACTGCATGAATTCTTCTATTTAAGATGCAATTTTATTTATAGATGTTTTTTTAAAAAAATCTTCAGAGTAAAAAAATGTTTAAAAACTGATCAACTTATATAAGCCATTTCTAGTCTGGATTTTCAAATGAATAATACAAAATCATAACTGATTGCATCATTTGGAACAAACAAAGCTTCAAACTATTCCCTAAAGAGTTATAATTAGCATTTAATTTTCAAGCATAGCAAAAACAAAGCAAAACAATAAAAGCTGTTGGCTGAAACAAAAGTCAGTGCATGTATACACTCTGAATTTTCACTTTTCAAGCTATTTAAGTTGCTTAATCTCCATTTTTCAAGGAGAAATATTCTAAATGTTTCTACCACCTGAAATATATTTTGAGATACTGAAAACGATAAAATGCTTGGTAATGTATATCATGCTCCTTCTAACCCTAACCTAAACCCTAGTCCAGCCTTGAGAAATGCCGCCTCAAGCATTGTGTCGCAGCCAGCTACCCCAGTGCCACAGTGGGAAATGGCAGTTACCCCCACAGTCCAGCACAAGGGCAAAAAACTGTTTCAATGCAACACCATGCATGAAGTCCCAGCTGCTTCTGGCATTTTCACTTCACAGCCCCTTCCACCA